ATGGAGTTTTTCATAATTGGCTAAAAAAACGGGAATAGGTACGAAATTATCTTTATTTTTACTTGTACTATCAAGTTCTTTGCTTCTTTTGTGCCTTTATGGAGATTAGAACTTAGTACAGTTTTGCGTTGCCGCTGCTGCTGCCATTTTTGTTGTTGCCGCCGTTTCTACTTCCCAATATCTGTTGCTGTTTTTTAAGCTGCTAGAGTAGTCGAAAAATTAAGTAAAATAGTGGTAACGCAATTGTGGATAGTTGCATGGCAGATAATGAAATTGCCGAATTACACAACGAATCTGAGCAACAACATATATATCCTAAATTTGGTATAGCCTGACAGGTTTCAAAAATTCGATACGTTTGGCAGATCGATGATTGACCGGTACCATCGCAATATCGAACCTGCAGTGAGTCCTATTTTTTTAAGTTATATTTTCAGTCATCTGTTAGTGGATCAGTAAATAAATTTGTCATTTAATCGCTTCACTAATTAACCTACTATTTAGCTGGTTTATTGGCTTGCTGTTCATCGGAAAAAGATTAACTTTAGAAAAAAAAAGGAACAGTTTGACTCTTCTTTTTTGTTTTCTTTTCTTATATTGATCACTGATAAATAGTTCAATGGTTACCCGATGTCACTTCGCAGTCTCATTCGACTTTCTAGAATTTTTCGCAGCCAGGCGGGTTTGTTCGCCAATCGTGATGACAAAAAACTTTTTTTAGAATGAGGGCTGACGACAAATTTGGATTGTGTTAAAACTCAGTTCTTCTTAAACATGGTTGTTATGGGGGACTCTAGCTTTATTCCTTTGCGGTGGGTCTTTCAGATTTTCATCATATCGTCATATTACACTTGTCTCTCGCAGATTTAGGAAACTACTAATTCCCACAAACCAAGAGATTATGTGTGAAAGATCAAAAAACAAACGCTCAAGAGATCGTGTCTAGAAGTGTGGTCTTTCACAATTATAAAATATTTGTTGAGGGTAGTATTTGTGTATGAATGCGAGAGTTGCGAAACGATAAATTAACAGTGTAAGAGGTTACGATACCATCGATGGGACTGAATTGCAGAGGATTCTCAGTTAGCATAGCTTTTTACAGCTTTTACAGGTGAAGTTGCCCTAGTTTGAGCCGAAGTATTACTCTGCTAGAAAGTGCCTCAATCTGACTAATAAAACAGTGGGCATTTGATCAAGAACTTTTTTTAGTGTTTTTAAAAGAAATCTTAGAAACTCGTCATTATGATTACGTTTTGGATTCCCACCTGTGCTTCACCGAACTCTTTTAATCTGAGTAGTTAACACTTTGTGCTATTTTCACGTATAGGTTGTTGTTTTGCCATAATTGTTTTTCATCATAATTGCAGGTTGCTTCTCTGAGAGAGGGGTTGTAATAAAAAAATATTCACTGAAAACCAGTTGCACGGAGTGTTGGACATCTTAATTGAAAGAGTTTGGTGAAGTGAAGTGCTGCAAGTTTTGGAAATATTAATGATATATTTTGGAAGTTTCTCTTAAAAACTACTTAACAACGAGAAGGTTTTGCTTATATACCCGTCATTGAACTGGCAGGATTGATACATGGTAAAAGGTAATTTTTCTGTTGAAAGTGTATATCGTTATTTGTCCAAAATGTTGAATCAAATGGAAATATTCTGCGGTCAAGCCGCTTTAATTTCACTGTAACCGTAATACCGTCAGATTACCATCTTACGATATTAATGTGTTGTGCACCAGTAGCATTTTTGAGAAATAAGAGAATTGTAGTAGTTTACTGGAAAGGTGGATAAACTCCTAATTATTTTAATTTTAAGCTTCACTCTGTTGGCAGGAAGTTTTAGTGTGCTTTCGATGTTTTGTATAATTCTCGTAACTGTACATAAATCACTTAACAAAATAATGACAACGAAGGGAAAGAAAAACAAAAAGTTTTACCGTATCAAAGCCCAAACTTCGGTCGATGGCAATAGTTTGCTTGATGCAGTTCAAACTGGGACATTCAAAAATTTGCATAGCACTACCAGTATAACATTGGATTGCTGCGGCGCCAGCCAACATAACCAGTATAAAAAATATCAGTAACATTTTCTGCAATACGGATGAAAATAGTAATGGTCAAACGTCGAATTTAATTATCGGTCAGTTAATTAGCATATGCAACAGTACGATGCGTTTGTCTCCTAAAAAAACGGTAAGATACTTTGAGGGCGATTTTTTGACCTACTCATTTGGTTGACACTAGATACAACGTAATTACTGTCTCAGTGAAGTAGTAATACAAACGGGATTGCTCTTGTTGTTTTTCACTATTACACTACTAATAATGGTGATAAATGATACCCTATTTTTTTTCCGCTGATAATTGTAGCGAAACCTATTGTGCAAAGTATTTAGGATCAAGGAGTTAGTTAATAGGGTGCAATATTGTTTGCCAAGGAATGAAGGTGTTGCGAAATTTAAAATAATCCAACAAAAGAAAAAAAGCACTGGAACATTCACATTTCAAACGCGAAAATCACTGCTAGAAAGCAGTCATGGAAATGTACAAAACAGCCGGTATTTTTCGTTTTGTAACGCACAGATTACCAAAACCGTCCCTGTTTCATACCGTCGTTTATTGTTATGGGCAACATCATGCTCCATCAAGGGGCAAACTTAAAAACACATTGAGAAGCTGTCTTTGGACTGTTTGCCGGCGACATGGATATTGGAGTTGACATTTAGAAGCACATTCCAAAAAAGTTTCATTTCGTAAACTGGAGTATTTTTACTGAGTTTAACATCCATTTAAAATTTGCTTCAGTTTAACAGCGACTGTACGGCTCAGTTTATCACCTTAAAGGGTCCGGGCATTTGTGGGACTCCGTCAGATACAGTTTGCTCAGTTATTCGTTTAGGCTTCTAGAAGTTAAATTAAAACTATGAAACAGGGAACCAAATTAAATTATTGTTATTATAATAATGATGATAATGATAAAGTACTTTGGGATAATTTTTGACGAGTTGTCTTAACACAGTCGGAAAAAATCGTTAACAGTTTTCTCAACTATAAAAACAAATATCACCTTTTCTCAAGTCGCTTTTGCACACTGTCCTTTTCAAGTTGATTGATGGATTCTCATTACTGTTTGTTTAACCAGTCATAATTTATGTTGTGTAAACAGTTATAGTAAAAAATATGATTTCCAGCCAATTTTTAAACTCCTTTCAAAAATTTAGAATGCGTTTGTTAACATTTAAAATCAGTCCTAAATAGCTGAATATGCAGTATGATATACTGAAACTTTGGGATCTTCCATTAGGAACTGACACATTAACCTCTAAACAATGCCAAAAAAGTAGAGCCAGTTTTGTGATTTGCGCTTGTCTCTTAATAATTTATTCCCCTCGTAACAGCAGCAGCAGCGGCGGCAGCAGGAGAACTGTGACATTCCATATTTTAAACGGATTCGGGTTGGCGTTGTGGCCTTTAAGTTTGTCTCAAACGGACTGGCTTCAAGACAAAGTAATTTTATAAAATTTTTTGATGATAGAACAATATCTATAATTACGTTTTAATGTTACATTTACAAATAAAAAACAACATTTCATATTTAAAGTTTGAAAACTGTCAAGTGGCTTATCATCGTTCATTCTTCTTGAAATGATGATAAGAATAATAAAAGAGGAAAAAGAAAGAATGTAGGAACGACGGTGACACCTTAAAATTTTGCTTTTTTTCAAAAATAACAAACAGAACCTGAGGCTCAACCAAATTTCTAAGTAAACAACTTTCCGGAACAAAAAAATGTCGTACAGATGGCACTCGAATTCTAAGTTACTGAAAAAAGTACTGATCAGATATTGAAGAAAAGAACGTAAATTTTCAACCGTTTTTAAATACCATAATTTCAAAATAGTTAATGTAGGCAACGAGTATTGGGAAACAGTTTTCGGTAACCCAAAAGCTATCATCTGACAGCTTAGTATAGGAAGGCTGAAACGACAATTACTTATTTTTTTTAAAGCACTTAAGTATCCACAGAGGTACTGCTGCTGTTACTGTTAAGTAGAAAAAAATTCAAACTAATAATTTCAGACATTAAACTTTAATAGAAAAATAAAAAGCTTTCTTTTGTTATTGCTCAATGAGATGGACTAGATGAAAAAAAAAAAAAAAAAAACTTTAGTAAAATTTTCTATAATTACTGTCTGCCAAGAAGTAAAAAAGCAGAATAATTAACAAAAAATTTTCAATTTATAAACAAGAAGTTTATTTTTTTTTCTTACTTTGCTTCTGTTATACATAATAACTTTTTTATTTTATAGGTACGAAGATGAGGTGGGAGAAGAAGAGGAGAGATGGAGAGCAAAAAGAAAATACAAAGAACGAAAAAGACTATGAAATATTCAGTGAAACGGGTCAAAACTGACTTACATAATTTTTTTTTACGAACACCGAAAGGCACTGTGCATCATATCGGCGACAATTTATTATGCTTAAATATTTACCATTATTATGACTATGATTATGCTTATTACTATTATTATTATTATTATTATTGTTATTATTGTCATCATAATTACTATTGCTATTAATATTACTCTCACCATTATTGTTATTGTCATTATTGCTGTTTTTTTTTATTTTTTATTTTTTTTGCAGCCATTACTCGTTATATAAACTATCGCATCCAAAAAGAATGATTGTAAGCCACAGTTCTGACTTATTGCCACTGCTGTTGCAAAAAAACATTTCAGTAGGTTTAAAAATGTGAAAAATAATTAAACTGCATACAAAATCTGTCCTAAAAAAACGACTATAAATATGACATTGGGTTTTTGCTTCTTTTCTCCCCGTAATCTATGGTAGCTTAGAAAAAAGAAATTTTACCTAACAATAAACATAGATGAAAAATGGTCTAAATGCATATCAGCAAGGCGCAAATTTGATACAGAAATCATTAAGTATACAAACGTAATTGTATATATATTGTTTTATCATCAAAAAACTTCATAAAATCACTTCGTCTCAAAGCCAATCCGTTATAGAATTGACACTGAAAACATTGTAGGAACGAACGGATACAGGCAAAAATAGAGCGCAGTTAGTTACCACTGAATAGTTGTATCGTGATTGAAGATCAAGCAGCCGATACTGTGAAATAGTAAACTCCCAAAAACTTATATATAACCCAAATTATTTCTGTTTTTTTTCCTGATCAGTTGTACCATTCAATAATGACCAACTTTCTAAAGAAAAAAAAAAACAGAAAAAAGTTTAGAGAGAACAAAAATTAGTGAAAAGTAATGTTATTTTCCATTATTTTAATGACCACCACAATGCGACTAATCCGAAGTACAACAACAGCAGTTTTACGCTTCAATAAATGTAAACCGTGTTGATAATACTGCTCCAACAGACTACAGCATAGATATGTGGTCAATTAATTGAAGCAATATAACAGTAAAAGTGGAAAGCAAAATACTGTTGTGTCAAAACCGTATTAATCTGAGAAAATTAAGCTGTACAAGATACGACTTACATGATAGTTTACAGAACAAATTTTGTCAAAAAAAATCCTGGTCAAAAAAAAAAATGACACTGTCGCTGCAAATAATTAGAAACTGACCGTTTGGTGCCATTGGGATTTGTTGGATTTCCGCTTATGCGATGTCAAAACCAATGAAGAGCAATTTGTAGCTAATCCAAATAACTTCTGTCTTTACCAAGCAACAAAATTCAAAAAACGATTATCTTTTTATAAAACAATTTTTAGCAATGACGTTGCAGTACTTATAAAAAAAAAGACTTTTTTCTTGAAACAGTAAAAAATAAGTTGTTGAAAAAAAAAAAAAGTCGATGAAACGATAGACTAAATGGCAGGTTTTTCAATTAAAAACCACCTGAGTATGTTACAAATAGATGATATATCAAACTGGTGTCCAAAATTTGATTTCCAGCATTAAATTCTGATTATTATATATAGTCAAAAACTTGCAAGAAAATAGGTTTCTATAATATATAATTAAACAGCACTTGCAAACAGAAATGACAAATCAATTATTAACTGCTTTGTTTAAACATCACAAAACTAATCCACCTGTAAACAGAAAACCATTTCAGCATCAATAAAAATGGCAGATAAAGAACTATTACCCAAGGTGATAAAGCAAAAAAAAA